GTTCAGTTTTGAGGGAGATTCTCTGTGTACCAGTACAGGTAAGCCTAGTATCCTCAACAGGAATAGTAGTCTCAATCTCCCCTCCAGGCAGAGAAAAAAAAAAAAAAGGGTGTCCTTGTATGACATATGCCTATGTCTACACACGGAAAGATGCTTCTCTGAAACCCCTCCTGTGCATTAGGCATATGAAATAGTCTTCCACAAAAGCCTGACAAGGAAATTTACTGTAGTACAGAAAAGCCCAGTTATGCACAAAGCATTCGCTGCACTGAAGCGCATTGTCTAACTCAACACCTGCCCCAGACAGCTCGAAACATAGGCAACAGGTCAAAAAACAAGAATAAGTACTAGACAAATAAAGTAGTATACACCCAAAAGCAAGAAACTACCTTTGCATTCAAATCCACTGAAGGAAGGTAGATTCTGCAGCAGAGGGCATTTAAAGGAGAAAATAAGCAGTGCCAGAAATCTTCCCGTGCAGAAGGAATCATATTTGAAGACACAGAACAGCAACTGATGAAAGTACAGCCCTCAGTCAACTGAAAACAGTGATCAACAAGAAGGAAAAAAAAAATCACATACGATAGAGACAGATAATGGAAGAGTCTTAAAGACGAACTTGAATTTGATGTACTGGGGAAAAAAGAAAGACTACAGAGAAGACACTGAAGACAGGCAGCCATGTGAGCAGAGTAACAGAATAGCAGACCAATGGGAAGCAAGGACAGGCCTGTGTAGACACACAGAACAAACACAAAATTTCACATGGAGAAAGTGTCAAGATTTGGGCTCAGTAATACCAGATAAATCTCTCTCAACAACACAGTCCAGCTTCTTCCCTCGCATTTAAGAGGCCCTTGGCCCTTCACAAGCAGATTCCTTACAAAGTGTCATGCCCCACACCCTGCCCCGTCTCTCCTCCCGCCAGAAAAAAAGTGGTTATTTTTTGTCAGCTCAGCAACCTTCATATCAGAGGATATTTAATCAGTCTTTATCGGCAATAATACCAGTAATAATATAAATAGAATATTTCTGACAGCAGGAGTTTAGCAGCTGAAGGAAAAAAAAAATCTTACTGGAAAAAACAAATATGAACCTTTAACCCATTAGACCAATCCATTAGCTGACTTATCCCTACTTGAAGTCTTAAAAAACAAACAAACAAACAAACAAAAAACCCCCCACACACAACACCAGATACCTTCAAAGTATAATGTCAAAAGTCAACTTTACCATGTAACTTTTGCATGGGGGTTTTATCTGGTCTGGATTCTAAAAGAAAAATGATGACAAAATCTTTAGGATCTATTTTAGACTTAAAGCATATGGGAAATAAACATACCACTTACTAGTCTCTATAAAGGCTGTTTTAAAAGTCACTGATGATGCACAATGTGTTGTTTGTTTTATTTTGGTGTTGTTTCGTTGTACAAGAAAAGAGCGTAGGGGGCAAAGAAAGTAATTTCTGTCCTCTCCTTCCAGTAGCTTGGAGGGTGGGTAGTAATAACCATTTTATGCACTAGAGTACAAGCAAAATAATGAATACCTGAACTATCAAAGCTGAAACAGAAAACACTACAGCTTGGTCTTACAGAGTAAATTTGTGAGTTTCAGTTCCTGAATATCTGCATTTTAATCTACATGGAACTGTTACATAAACTTATATGTCCCTGTACTGAAGAGAGACCAAAAAAGAAGTGTTTTTCCTGTGGCAAGTATTTTTTCCAAAGGATTTCTGACCTGCAGTTATATGATCTTCCACAAGCAGTAAGATTGTCACAGTATCTAGTACATACAAGTGTTTTAGCAGGAAACCTGGCAAAAATCTTGGGGTTTTACTTCAGCCTGAGTGGAATGTGCAGTATTCAGAAAGTCTGCGTGACATAGTTTGTCATTGTTTTATCACTGAAAGGATGCTTAGCAGTGTTCGCTGGCTTTTTTTTTCCCCCTATATTCTGTTCGTCTACTAAATTATGATCACTGAAACTCAGTTTGACAGAGGCTTCTGCTTTCTTCCCCTAGCAGATTTAACGGAATTTACAAGATTTTTGCCAGGTCTCCTGCTAAAACAGGATAAGAGGATAAGAATAAAAGCTGCCTCCCCTTCTCTAACTCCCCACAAGATTTGCTCACTCTACATTTGCATAATATATCAACAGTTTTCTCCAGTTCTGTCCACTATCCTGCACTAAGACTTTTCAAGAATTTCAAGCATCACCATCTTTTGCTTGACAAGGCTCCTATAGAATGCACACTCACAAAAGCAGTGGGGGACAGCCCAAACGCCGCAGGGTATTCTCATTATCCACAAAGGCATTTTCCGTTCAAAGGTACTAAAGGTTCTAAAAAGCAAAGGGTTACTGAGTAACCTGGTATTTTTCCACAATTATTCAGGTACCCTGTCTGGAAATCTCTGGCTAAACCAAAGACCTTATTTACAATCTGGCGCTAAAGTTTCCCTTTTCCTTTGCAAGTAAGCAGGAGGTTCTTGTTTTTATAGTTCCACTGTGAACACAGCCAAAAAATGGTAAAAATTACCTTAGCTGCTCTTACTGGTGGAGATTCTATCACATTCACTAGCTATATCACAAGCATTAGTCTGGAGGAGCTTTCAGGACAACCATTTGTTCTGTTGTCAAAGTTAATTGCTTAGGTCACTTAGCAGCAGAACAGGCTTAACTGATTGGAAGCCATATAGCATTACCACAGTCACCCTCTCATCTCCTAACTACATTTGCTTTCCTGCAAATCACAGAATCACAGAATGGCTGAGGTTGGAAGGGACCTCTAGAGATCATGAGGGTTATAAAAACCACTCCACAGTATATTAGTCAAGAACTGTTACACTTGGAATATCATATGGAACGCAACAAGAGAACAGGCCCACAACAACCTTCAGAAATCAACATACAGTCATCCAAATCTGGTATTTCACTGCTGTCCTCCATCAGCCACTTTCCACCCACCTCTCAGAAAAATATGGCTTTGAATGCACATGCCTCACCGTCCAAATAATGACTCCCTGCCAGTTGTAGAATATCATCAATGAAATAGTACAGGAACTGTTGAGACACATCTCAATTCTAATCAGAAGCTGGCAAGAAGCTCCACATAATGAGGCAAGAGCTAAATAATGGCTACTTCAACCTACAACTGATGACAATAAAATAGTAATTCCTAATATTCATGGATCACAAAATATTCACATGAGATTTGTACTGTACCTAATAAAAGCAAAAAAATGAATAAAACAGTAGCTATCCCAATTCATAAAAGATAAAACAGAAGTATAAAAAAATAATGAAAAGATTTTGATTAGGGAACTCTGCTCACATTATAAAAAAAAAATGCTGTCATGTCAGTAGTGACTTTTGATCCATCTATCTCACCTAGAGGCAACATTTGTGCTGGGAATTATATATGCAGTTTGTCTTTTCACTCAGACAGTAGCTCCTGGATTTTCCTAACTTGGATTGTACATGAAAACATCAGGACTCTCTCTGTGCAAAAATATCTACAGACATACGTCTCTCTTGGCTCTGTGACTGCTAAAACCCTATCATGTGTTACTAGGAAATAAACCAAAAGATCTCTAGAAAGGAGGTTTAAATTTTAACTATGACATAGGCAAACCAGACAGACATTACTCAGCTCCAGAATTCAAATAAATAAATAAATAAATAAATAAATAAATAAAGTGACACAGGGTTCACCAGATACCTTGCTCTGCTTTCAGGTCTTCCTTTTCTCCTTACAGAAATAACTCTCAAACTAAAATCTCTCTTGCTCTGCAAAGGTAAGGAACTGACCTATGCATACGCGTAGCCCTGAGGCACAGTAAAATGCTACAGTATCTAGTTCACACATTATATTTCAATTACATACATTACTTGTGGGGAAAAAAAAAAAAAGTCAAATACAGAGAATTCCAGAACAACGGCATAAACAAAAGCAACTAAAACGGAACTCTAAGAGGTCAATACTTTTGAATAAAACCTCCCCAACAATGCAGTGAAAAACCCTTTACTACCTATATTTATAGTAAAATAAATAAAAAGCCAAAAAGAAAATTATCAAATTATCCAAAAGCTGCTTAGTTAGGAAAAAATAAAGAAGAAAAAAAAAAGAGGGGGAAAAAAGATGGAAAAAAAAAGAAAAAAAAAGAGGGGGAGAAAAAAGGAGGGGAGCGAAAAAGAAGAAAAAAAAGGGGGCGGGGAACTTGCTGCTGCTTTAGACAGGTTTTCCCAAGTTCTTCCTCAAATCTGGACATGGAATTTCCGAGTACAAATGCTGCAGAAAGCATTTACTCTGCAGTCAATAACTGAGAGAGTCCACAAGAGACGCCTTTGTGTCCCCTCTAACACAAATGGAGAGATGTAAAAACAATCCAGAAATAATGACCTTATCTACTCAACAAGACCCACAGGAAAATACCAGAGAACTGAGTTTTGGGTTTTTTTTTTTTAATAAGTCTAAGAGAAAAGAACAAAATACACTGAAACAATTCACACTTTTAAAAGGCTGCAGTTAAGAGAATAACATGCTTTCCCAGGCTATTGGTAAGTAATGCAGTAACACTGCAGCAAGACATACACAAGTTGGATACCAGAGGGGCTCCTTTCCGTGTCAGGAATACTGAAGCAAATAATGAAGCACTGGAGCAATTGCTCTAGTGGAGCAATACTGAAGAGGTAGCTATGGAGCCCCTGCCTCTCTCTCTCTCTGTGCCTGTCTCTCTTTCTCACACACACAGACAGTTAAGAACATGATATATATATACACATCAGGTATACAAGATAGGCAAAGTTGCCTCTATCAGGCAGAAAAACAAACTAGAGAGATAGCAAGGGAGCTGCTAAAGACCCCTACGGATTTTTTTTTTAACCTAAATAGCTGCTCAGAAACACATTCAAGAAACAAACTACATAGAAATTATTCCACTTACCAATTATCACAACTCCTTTTAATATACCAACAATATCAAGCTCACATATCCTTACCTCTTGGCTTCCTCCAGATGACAAAGATATTCGTAAGCCACATTCTGGCGTCGTCTTTCATCCATTTCCTCTGCTGTTAACCTCTCATTATCCAAGACAGCTGCAAACAGTCAAACAGATTCTCAGATTCTTCAGGATTCAATGCAGCTGAACAGACCACTCCAAAGTCAGATCCAACCTTTCCCACAACGGCTACCTTTTACTTGATTCAGAAAATGAAGAACCAAATAGACCCGTTCTTTACAAAACACAGAATGGAAAGCAAAGCTGAGGCTATCCTATTTCCTTACCCTTCCTCCCTTGTCGCATTAATTTGTTTCCATTCTTCTTTATTTCTCCATTTGCTTCTGAAGCAAATGTTTCTGTATTCCAGTTTCCTATAACAGTCTTTTATTTTCTTCTAGCTTTGCCCTTCTCTTCCTAAATGCATTAGCAATTATGTTCTCTCTATCTACCTTCTGATTTTGGTAATCAAAAATTAAAAATTAAAAAAAAAATCATCAGACCATAAAATCCTTTTTATGTAGTTATACTCCAGCCCTAAAAGGATGGAAGGGCTATTCATAATCCTCATCTGGAGAGGAGCTGTTCAGATGCAGAGCCTGTGCATCATCTTTACATCAGCCTGAAGACCTAAAGAGGAGTGTACGCTTAAGTCTTTCAGGCTGCATTCAAAGCCTCAGTGATGCAGCCTCTCCTTTCCACTCTTACAGCTAATTACCTCATCTGTGCTCTTACAAGGAAAGAAAAATAATTCTCTAGGTTTCAGTGAGTAGTCTGAAAAATAGGAAATGTTTCATACCATTATTAACTGAAGTTTAGCTTACACCTAAAATGCCTTCAGCAAATAGGTATACTGACAAGCTATCAACTGGAATATTGGGTATCAAAAAAGATTTTGCTTCAAAATGCCACGGATCTCCTGGAGAACTAATTAGGAGGACCTCGGAAGCTTATTACTTCAACCGTTCTGAAAGTTACTAGAGCTGAAACTGTGACTAACAACATGGTAACGCCTGCCAGCAAGGAAAGTTTCTCTCCCCGCTCAAAACCTCCTTCTTACTTCAAGCCACCGGCCCCGAGCACCCAGCACTTCCTGTGCCGCGGCCACCACGCAGCCCTGCTGCGGCGACGAGGCACCGCAGCAGCCCTGTATGTCCTCCACCCTCGCTTATTTGTGACCTGGCACCACAGCACAAACTCAAACGAAGATCCGAAACCTCAAACAGGACCGTAAACTACAGCCTCCCTCAAATACGAGCGTTTCTGAGGGAGGATTTGTCCCATCGCCACGGCTCCAGCGCACTGCGCCCAGCACTGCGGCTGCCCTGGGCCAACGGCAGCCAGGGCGGAGGAAAGGCGAG